AATGAATCGAAAAATAAATTTCACTTAAAAATAAATTTCCCCAGAAGCTTTCGTTGAAAAGTAAATCTCAGTGGAAAATTTCAGTGAAAAATTTCATTGGAAAATTAATTTCACTGTAGAAATGGATTAAAAAATAAGTTTCACTGAAAAATAAATTTCCCCGGAAAATATGATTGAAAAATAAAATTTCACTGGAAAAACGAATAGAAAAATAAGTTTCACTGGAAAATTTCGCTGAAAACTGAAAACCGCATGCACAGAGAACCTCTCCCTTTTCCTCGTTTCTGATAAAAGGGAAAGAAGCAAAAAAGGGACGGAAAAGAATATTACCTGCTGTTGCTGCGGCTGTTGCTGTTCCTGCTGTACCTCGTCATGCTTCCGTTTTCTGCTGACGTCCACGTTCTCGCTGTTCTCGTTGCAGATCGATCTACACTTGCTACAGAGCACCTGGCGTGGCCTGAGTCTGACCGTTGGACGTGCATTCTTGTACCTGGCCGGTGGATTGATGTTCCTACGAAGATCGACTTTCGCCACGGCCAAAGAGCTCTTTCTTTCCTGGAAGTAGCTGAAACGGGCAGCGATCGTTGCCAATTTGTCGCCGTCAGGATCTGGTACCGGTTCAGGGGGTTGCACGCCACATGGTAGACCTCTGTAAAAATGTGAAAAATAAGGAATTTCAATCGATGTTTCTTTTATTAGCATAGGATTTAACAACATGGAAGGGAGAGAAGAGGCATCGATCGAGTGACTCGGTGGACTGGGAATGCTAGGCTATGTTGCTGGATATCTGGGTCATTGACAAACTGCCTCTTTCTGACTTCAGTATTTTAGAATATATTCGACCGTTTACGGTGGACTGATAAACGTGATACAGATTGGCCATATTTTAAATTGCACACCGGTGGAACTGAAAATTGAAGATTGCGTGGGAGAATTGGGGGAAAAGTTTGTGTGCGGAGAGATAGAAAATTGTGATTCTAGTACGTTCGAAACGAGGTTGCTGTGTTATGCTGTGAATTAATTTGGAATTTGGGATGGTAGAGAAATTGAAGGGAATTAAGAGAATATTTGGAATTTGGTCGCTGAGTATTTATTTCGGCATTAATTTGGATATCTGGAATAGTAGAGAAGTTAAAGCGAACAAAAGTGAATATTTGAAATTTGGTCGCTGAGTATTTATTTCTGAATTACTTTGGAAATTTAGAATAGTAGAGAAATTAAAGAGGAAAAAGTGTACATTCGAAATTTGGTCGTTGGAAATTTGGAACAGCAGAGAAATTGAAGAGAAAAATGTGTATATTCGAAATTTGGTCGTTGCGTATTTATTTCTGAATTACTTTGGAAATTTCGAACGCTAGTAAAATTAGAGAGAAAAAATTGAATTAGTATCCTTCGAAACTACTGAAAATTATTATTCTACATCCGATAATAAATTAAACGACTACTCTGATTCCTGAAAATCACACAGAAAGCAAAAGAACACTCCACCGATATTCTAAAACGGCTATAATCCGACGAGCGCGAATATTTGACATCTAAAAACGAGACGGAAAAAAGCCGTTCCACTTTGAGACACTATAGAAAAATAGAAGAAACGAGTTAACAATGGATGAGCGAGTATTCGATAATAAAGGAATCTAACAGTAAAAAGATCTGGAATAGTAAAAAAAAAAAAAAAAAGAAAAGAAAAAGGAACGAAATGAAAAGAGGTTACACGTCCTCCTTTCTAATAATATAGACTCCAAAGTCTTTATTTGTCAGACAACTGCTCTGACCATTAGTCCATTCAACCGTCCGACAGATTCTTTCTCCTTAATCCTGATACTCGAAAGGGGCGGCCATTTTGAATAGCCCAACGAGCTAATGGAACGGACTTCATGATTAATGGAGGCACGCGAGGACTCTGAACTTTATTACATTCAAAAACATCCTGTGCGTCTAGAGGTTAATTCCGACAATCTATTTCGACTTTTCCTCGTCGTAAAAATAAAAAAAAACACTCCGACGTATTTTTCTTCGAGCACAACGCGAGTCGTTGAGATATTCGTCGGTGCGCGATGAAACAGAACACGGGCATATCTGTGACTCGTCGAATCTTATCGAAAGCGTATCCTTTCGCCTAACTTTGTCAAAATAAAGAAAAAACATAGAAAACACACTTAAAACGCGCCAAGAATTTGCGCGACAAAAAGTCGAGCAAACAGTGGTTAATCGCGTAATAGTGGACAATGGGGGAAAAACCGCGAAGCGAGGGAAGATTAAAAATGTGTTCAATATACCGGGTGTCCCCGAAGTAGCGATGGAAAAATAGCGAAACTAAGGGGACGAATGTACGTGTGAAACTAAGTCGAAAATGTGGAGTAACATTTTTCGATACGAAGCTTCGTTTTCGAGTAATTCGATGTGGAAGTTTCGTGAACGTCGCTCGGAGTATTTCAGCTGTTCGCTGTTAATATTCTCTTCGTGGCAGACGAGAGACGGTTGATCACGATGGCCAAGCTGTTTTAACATTTGATTCATTTTTTCTAACGTGATAAACCCAAACACAAATACAGCCAGTTTACAACGATGTTCGTTAGACGTAGGCGTAAGTGAGATCGTGTGTAAGTGCACGCGTGCTCGAAGAATCTTCATCGATTCACTCGGAAATGAAACTTCCTACGAGGAAAATGTTACGTTTTCCACTTGTTTCTTCGTGTACCGATAATTCGTAGATACGGTGTATTTACGATGAAAAGGGAAAAATCACAAATTCACGATTTGTGTTTGGTGGAAAAACAAAATGACGGTGAATTACAGGGAGAAGAAAAAAGAGGTGGTGGTGGGGAAAGGTAAAATCGCGAGTATGCAACTACACACGTTTAATGAAATGTAAGAGGGAAATGATATTGATCCAGGTAGATCGAATCGCGGTAAGATAATGAAGACCTTTCGTAATGAAAGTACTATTATCATAATAGCCTTGCGAGAGACTACATCGCCAGCGATGAAACACGTAAGCAGCTAACCGACACTCGGGCCACAGTGAAGTCATTGTGCCTGGATTGCGATTTCGTGACTGGCTAGGGGGATAGGAAATGAAGAACGAAAGGAAAAACAGTGGAATTCCTGTCTATAGATAATCGATATGTTTCTTGTAAACGAACAGAGTTGAGCAAATTCTAACCTATTTCGTATGAAATTCACTGAAATCTAGGGAAAATTGTAATAGTTCAGACGAAATAGGGGAATTTTTGTAGAAATTGAAAAATAATTCTACGCTTTTCTACAGCAAACCGACAAGTTTCTTAAAAACGAACACAGTACTTGAGAAAATTCTAACCTATTTCTTCTGAAATTCACCGAAATCTAGGGGAAATTAGTTCATGCGAATTAGGAAAATTTTAAGTAGGAATCGAAAAATAATTCTACGCTTTTCCACAGAAAATCGACAAGTTTCTTAAAAACGAACAGAGTACTTGAGAAAATTCTAACCTATTTCTTCTGAAATTCACCGAAATCTAGGGGAAATTAGTTCAAGCGAAATAGGAGAATTTTTGTTCCCTTTATCGCCGTCATTCTGCGTTCAAATTCCCGTTGCAAGATAACCGAGAAAAATATTTTTGTCTTCGAAGTAAAATCACAGGAAATTCTGATCTTCTGTTATTCTTGTTACTTTTTTTTTTTTTTTTTTTTTTAAAGAACTATACAGAGAGCACTTTATAGCATCCACGTTTCGTGCATTAATCTGCAAGGCTTGGTACATATTACGGATTAAAAATCCGCAGATGTTTTGTAATCCTCTGTACAGAGGAATTTCTAATTAAAGTGCTGTAAGTAAGTAAGTTCGCTTGTCGAAGACGTTATCTATGCTATAAAGTACGGTGTCACGAGATACGGGCAATTTAGTGATTAGTACAGTCCAATTTATTTAATGTGAAATTTTAAAAATGTATCTCACGATGATAAGCTTGACGTAGAGAATATTAAACATTCCTTTTTATTTCATCTATCTTACTTGATTTAATTAAAAACGAGAATTTAAATGTTATATTTTACTTTCGTATGAACTCGACTTCAGGCAAATTCCTCCATTATCATTCGTTTCCATGAGAAAAGTATGAATTTTAAAATATAGGGTGTCCAGTAAATTATATTAAAATCGACAAGGGAGGTAATTTCATTAAAAAATAAATAAATAAATAAAAAAAATGTGCAAGTTTTTTGATTGCTTGCTTTACTTTCCGAGAAAAATAATTAGGAAATCAATTAAAAAAATTTATTGCATGTTTTTTATAAAAAAAAAAAAAAAACATTTTCTTGTCGGTTGTACTACGATTTATCGAACAGCCTGTAGGAAATAACGAATACTTTGGAAGCTAGTTTGGAAAAAAATCTATTCCCAATTCCAATTCCCAACAATCCTCGTGCAAATTCTACATTCCAAAACTTTAGTTCGCCAACAAACAAATCCTTTTACTATTAACTTTTCACAACAGAAAACTAAATTTCATTAATGAACGAATTCCCTACTTTCGCCTTTACAAAACGATTGAAGACTTTCCGAAATCGAGGATTTTTCAGGAAGATAAAGAAACTTTCCTAAAAATCAGAAATTCAATTGTTTTATACTAATTTGTTATACCAAACAATAGAGTTTTTCTACGATCGAAAAATAGAGACGACCAAATTTCTCTACCAAAATCAACAATTCCCTGGCAATTTCAGAAATTACATTTCCTTTCTTTCGTTTTCTAAAATCTAAAAATGTCCAAAAGTATAGATAACCAAATTTCTTCCCCAAAATCTTCAATTCCTCTCTAACAATTCCAGAAATTCCATTTCTCTTCTCTCCAATTTCCTAAAATCCAAAAACAGAGATACCCAAATTTCTCCCCCAAAATCTTCAATTCCTCTCCAACAATTCCCCAGCAATTCCATTTCTTTCCTCTCCAATTTCCCAAAATCCAAAAATGTCCAAAAACAGAGATACCCAAATTTCCCCCCCAAAACCAACAATTCCTGTCTCACAATTCCCCAGAAATTCCATTTCTTTCCTCTCCAATTTCCCAAAATCCAAAATGTCCAAAAACAGCGATACCCAAATTTCCCCCCCAAAATCTACAATTCCTCTCCAACAATTCCCCAGCAATATCATCCAACCACCAGATCCCGAAGAATCACTTAAAAAGACTCCCACAGAGTTCTCAATCTCGAAGAAGAATTTTCCAGGATCGCGATAGGGAAAAGAGCGGCGGAGGGCAGAGTAGCAAAAACGAGCGTTGGCTGACCGCTAGGCTAGCAAGCGGTTTCATAACGTCGAGGAGAAGAGAAGAGCATCGTGCAGATGCACGGAAGTCGGTAGTGAGGTCTGTTGGTACGGTCTGGCCAAAAGATTATTGGGTAACAGTCGGCCAGGCCAGGCCAGGCCAAGCCAAGCCAAGCCAAGCTCTAGTCAGCCATCGCTTCGACTCGCTGTTTCATGCACGGTGAACAACACAACGCAGCCAGCAGAGCAACGTGGCTGTGGTATTGATTCGAAAAGGGGGCGGACAATGAGCGACAGCCCGACGCTGCTTGTATCCATTAATACTTTCCGGTTTTTCGATACCGTCGAAAATTCCAAATGAGAGTTTCAAGATGAAAGTCAGCCAGCACACGCACACACAT